GTTGTTGTCGTTGCTGCTGCTGCCACTGCTGCTTTTGATTGTTTGTGAGAATCTACAGAAAATGTTTTTCTTGTATTCTGGTACTTTTATTTACCTAAAATTACCTCAGTATTTCATAAAGATTTTCTGGAAGCAATGAAAACCAAAGATATAATAYTTAATATCGTACTTAAAGGCAGCACTTGACTTCTGTTCTGGTGTTGGAAAGATGTTTGAGTTTATGTGCTCTTTGGAAAGATTTTATTTCCTCCCATTGGCTGGAAGTTTTTGAATGAGYCTTTTCCTATTACATATTTATATCATGTACATCACATACTTTACATGTTTACTCTCAACATCTTTTTGGTCTGACTATGGTATATGAAATATAAATATAAAATAGATACCAAACAAATAACTTTATTTTGTACAAACAAGGATTTTATTTCACTTCATTGAGAGTTTTTTAATGTAGTGCTTAAAACCTCCAATGTTCCTGTTGTTAGACAGAATAAAATGGAATATGATCAGATCTGAAAAAAGGGAGGCACAGAATGGAATAAATTGGATCCAAGTTGCAGGGAAAACAGATGCAGAATAAAATGAGCACTTTTTCTATCCGAATAAAATAATCTTTTCCAGCAACRTGATGCTACATGTAAAGGCAAGATAATTAGCTTTGATATCAGGATGAAATTAGCTGCAGTATCATACATTTCTTTTGAAATCAAATTAAGAGCTAGAAAAATAAATGAGGTTATGCTCAGAACTAAATGGCTAATAGATCTTTGAGGCAAGATTTTTGTCTTGTTAATTTCTGAGTTACATATTTATTTTCTGCTTTGGATGGTGAAATATAATCTAGCAGTCAGACAAACATGATTTTTGGCTTGTGTTTTTTGCATTCTTAGCTTAAGTAATTTTTCTCAAGAATCAAAGCAACCTGATTTTTGCAATCAATAGAAAGAATGTTAGGTTGCTCTACAGAGTAGCAATCACAATATAAATTACTATCAGCAAGTAAAATATGACCTGTGCAGTGGAGGAGTGAGGACTGTTAATGTCCATTCTGAAAAAAAAAACCATATATATCCTGTAAKTTTTTATTATTTATTGGTCTTGAAGTATTTACTATTTTTATTGAATGYATACATGATAAATCTTACTTTGTTTACTGATCTCACAAAAAAAATGATATGCAATACAAATGCAAGAGGAGCCTTTGATAATCTAGGTGGGGAGCTGAAATTCGGTAATACAGGGCACTGAAATCAGACACAAAGTGCTTCAGACCAGAACTAATTGCTCGAAGTTGAAGCTGGACAAGTTCAGACCAGAARTAACGTCAAAGTATAGTAACAATGGGCATAGTCACTGAAGTTCAACACACAGGGTTTATGAAGAATTCTCTATCACTGGGAATATGATTGATTGTTTTTTAATATATCCTCTATTTTCAGTACTGATGTGGGGTCTAAAGAAAGATTTTTCTTTAGTGAGTCCTAGAGCATGTATTACACAGGTCTTCAGACCAGGTGATCACCATAGAGCTATCTGAACTAAAAATCTATGAATCTGCATGTTGAAACAGCTTTGAAATCTGTGTGCTGATGGGCACTTGTCCCAGGTAGAGATGAAAGTTCTGGGTTAATTTACATTTTGAYCCCTTTCATAGTTTCAGAGCTTCTGCTGTAGAATGCTCTCTTGACCCGCTTTTGCTGTAGTCTCCATTTCTGACAATAGCTACATTATCCTATATCCTTTTCACTTGCTGTTCAGATGCTGTTGTACAAGGTGAACTTTGAAGAGACAGTCTAGGTGCTGAAGCTGTCTAACAAGAAAAATGCCTGTGGGCTGAAAATAGAATGGTTGATCTAGATCTGGCTGATAGATTGGTTACACAAGGAATATCTCAGTTGATTTTCAAATACTCAACAAGGACAAGACTCTGATAAAAGAGCATTGATTAGGAAAGCTTGCAAGCTAAAAGAACAAGTAACAGAAAGGAGATCAAAGTCACCAGGTAACTCAGACTTGACTGATTCTTGTCTACAGCTATAACTGTTTCCACTTTACCATCAGTTAGATGTGTGGGGTTTGTATCTTTTTGACAGATTGGTTAGAAAGACAAAACCTAAAGAAAGATCTAAATTACCAAATAGAGCTGTCAACTTTTTGTGTCAGTAGTGTGTGATTGGTGATTCCTGGAGATCCAAGTAGTTTGTTTCCTTTGCACCAAAAGTGAGAATGAGTCTTCCTGACCCATTCTCGCGGTTTGTTATGTTTAGGGTATCAATCCATTCTTCCACAAGGTAACAATTTCTTTCTGAGGAACTTGTTTGTGCCTGTCAGATTCTTTCATATTGCATATGTAAAGGGTATCCAATATGTTGTGAAAAAGTCTTCAAGAACAGACAGATTCCTTGGTATTACTAAATGGCATAGGAAACCTTAACTGTGACTGCATGCAGTCTATTTATTCATGGAGAGAGCCAGCTTCCCAGAACTCTGCTCCACAAACATTTCCACCGATCCCTTCAGTCCACACCTCCTTATCCATGCTGTGCACTCACTTGATACTGACAGGCCATGTCACATACTGAATTCCCTGGTTTCCCTCTCAATCTCAACACATCATTCTTSCTTACCACATCCTTCCCCTGCTCCTGGCATTCAGTACTGTCGGCAACAGCATCAAAGTCTGCAAAGCCTCAAAAATGAAAAGATGGGGCAATCGTAGCCTAAGGGGGCAAAGTCACAGACAGTTGAGAGTGGGAGGAAAGGTTAGGGCTTGTCATGGATGTGCAAAGATGCTCTCTCCCCAGCACCGCTGAGGAGAGAGYCCCATGCAGGCTTGCAGCATTCATGTTATTCTTGCCCAGGGCTCTTGCTAAAATTAGTGTCAGTCTCAGGAAACATGCAACCCTTAAAGATACAAAGTAAAWTTTTTTTTGTGAGCACTGAATATATGTGTTATGAACCAATGATTAAGAAGCATCAAATCACTGATTTGAAACAGATTTTAAAGAATCAGATTCAAGAAATGTAGTTATGTTGTCTGATCTAATATCACTGGGAACAGTAGAGCAAAATCATGTTTCCTAATTACAGCTGGATGGAGAGTGCATTTATTTAAAGCTCTACCATAACTGTGCTGATACTGAGCATTCCCATTCAGGGCACAGAGAATTCCATGTTCGCCATRAAGTCTGTTACATATAAGTTACTCTCATAACAGGTACTCCTGCTATGAAAAAAGCAACACCAGGATTTTCTGTCTACTTCCCCAGGATCTGTACCAAAATAGAAATTACCTTCAAAAACCCCTCATGAGAAGAAAAAGGAGGTCTTGACTTATTGTGAGCCATATGGGAAAAAAGGACTTAAGCAGAGTGCTTCTGCTTCTTTCTCTCAGCTGAAGATGACAGTAGTCTGGTTGTTTTTCAAACTTTTACATTAAGGATTGCTTATACCTAGGTGCAAAAAAAGAAGAAAATCCCAAACCAAACCAACCCTTGTATGACATGTCTGACCTAAGCTGACAAGCATACTGTATGGGTGATTTATATTTAGAGCAAGACCCAGAGGTGTCTAAAGCAATCTACTTTCAAAAGCAGAAGTTGTCATATTCTAAATCTGCTCTTAAAGAAAACTGGACCTCAGTGCTACTTTCAGGATAAAGTATACAACACTCAGAAGAAATGGCAATGTCTGAGAAAAAACATGTGATGTCCAGAGCTCAGTGAGGCACCTGATGTCATGACACCTTAAGCTTTTAGATGATTGGTCAAAGCAGTTTTGTTTTAGTCAGTGAGTTGTATGAATAGCTTTAATACAACTAAGACATTCCTCCACAAGTTACTAGCAAGTGCATTGATTGTAGATGGCTTGGCTTTTGGGGAATTAGATTTGCCTTCTTTCAGTTGATGCTTGTGGCAGAGGTGTTGTGTTGGTGCTGTTTTCTGAGCTGATGTCTTCCTCACAGCTGCTGGAGCCACAGCACGTCCCTAGGGCATGTCCTCTGCCCAAGCTCCTGTCTTTTGCAGCTACTGTCATTTCAAAGACTTCACATCACAGTGCTTGGGGAACATGGGAAATGAAAATGCCTCCTTCTGTGAGATCTGCTTGCTTAAGGTTAACTGTTGTTTTTTTCCCCCAAGCAAATGTTTCCTGGGGACGTGTTCAAAGAATGTCATGTTTCATGCCTGAGATATTCTGTTGATCCTCAGTTACCCTCTCATGTAGACAATGGAGGATTTTACTCCACAGTGGCAAAGGGTTCAAATTTTCAGAATAGGTGAAAATAAATTGAGGAAGTTTCTTCTCTCCATACTGATCTGCATAGCAAAACTTCTAAACATTTATGTCTTTCTCTATAAAGACCATGAAGCACTCAGGTGTTCTGCCTGATATTGATGACCTCTCTGATTGGCCTCCTTGTCAAACAAGTTCCTCTCTACTGCTATTAACTCCCTTTAAGTGAGCAGGGAGGGTTGTTATATCCAACTTGTGTTGTTTCAGTGCATCTAATGATTTAGTTGCTGAGTATTTACTCAGAAACCTTATTTCTCAAGGGATCAATGCATTTTGATCACTTACCTTTCCATTTAAAAATACAAATGTGCACATATATGAAGCAGTGTGCAAACCTCTTTGTACTTCAACTTTCAGGCTGAAAAGAGAAAGCTCTTCTGAAATGAATGCCACGAGAAAATCCTAGGAGATGGACCAATTTTGCATTCTTACAGGATTTGGGAAAAGCTGTGGAGCAGTGTGAAGTTTCTATTTTATGTCTTGGAGGCAGCAACCCCAACTGTGGCTAAAAGCCAGAAGATGAAAATTATTTGTGAAACTACATTACAAAAATAATCAGCTATCCTGGCCAGAAGTGTGCTCCCCTGTTATCAGCTCCTGTGCCTCCTGTGCCTCTGGTTTGTTTCCTGTGGTTCTGTCAGTTTGCCAAGGGACACTTACATTTCCAAAATAAAAAAAAAAAAAAGAATGAAAAAGTTAGTAGCACATACTGATACTGAATTACTTCATTAAAAAGCCAGGAAGGAACACTTGCTATGAAAAAAAGTTTTCACTTTCATTTTGGCAGTATATACACATTACCCCTTTGTTCAGTGTCGCTCCCCATATACTGAAGATGTTTTAGTTAGACCTCTGTGGTAACCTCACATCACACATGGCTGGCCTTACATCTCAGAAATAGACCATATTCTTGAAATTGCTGTTGAGGTAAGTTACCAGCCTGGCAGCCCATTAAAACTTCCAGAAATAGGCATCTCTTTGCTGTCTGGATTAATCTTTATGTACACAGTGGTCAAGGAATTAATTTATTTGACTATACCATTTTGGGGTATTAGGTTCAGAAGCTCTGAATTGCTGTCAGTTGCAACAAGTGTTTCTGGGAATGTGGAGTCCCTCACGCTATCTGGTTATCTCACAGTGACAAGAAACTTAGTGTGCACAAGAAGCTTGGTGTGCCTTACTGAACAATTGATGTCGAAGGAGAAAATATTTTCCACAAAGCTGATTGGGAAGATGTCACTGCACCATGAACACCCAGATGCCAAGTAACGTTTATTTGATAGTCCTCCATGCCAACAAAAAACATAGCAGTGGAAGCAGAGACCTGAGCACATGGGAAGAACTCATCCCTACAATTGCAGAATGGATAAATCTATTAAGTTGGGAAGGGAGAGAAGGAAGGACTCAGAAATAAATGGATAATAGAATAAAACAAAATAGCAAAAGATTGATTGACCTGAAGACCTTTCAGGAAATCAGTTACTTAGAAAATTTAAATTTACTTCTTCCTTTTTTTTTTTTTTTTTTTTTTTTTTTTTTTTTTTTTTTTTTTTNAAATTTTCCTATCAAGCCCTCAGTTCCCTCTTCAACAGGTTGTCAGTAGCTGGGTTCCCATTCCCCTGCTCCTCCTTGTGCTGCTTCAACTCTCATGGATAAATGCCTAGACACAAATTCTGCAGCTGAAGGGGTAGGACTAGCACRGAGACCTCAGGAAAGAAACTGAAGTGGCAGTGTGTTATTTTCATTAAGGAAAACCCACCTGAAATTTTGCTCAGCTCTCCTAAGACCACTGATACTGTCCAGTCATTCTCTCACACTTTCAGCTCTCCTTTTCTCTATCTGATGCCCTGCAGACAGCAATCTTCCAAAGGAAGATTCATCCAATCTTCATCCAATCTTCTCCCACTAATTCCTGGAAGGGAACAGCYCTGTAATGGCATCACTTCTTGAGAGACAGAGCAGTGGCCCATCTTCAGCCTCCTCACTCACAGAAAGACAACACTAGGAGAGCAAACAAAGACCAGAAGGAGACAAAACATTGAACTAAAACAGGAGAGCACAAGTGGAAGGAGCACTGAATGGAGAGACAGAAAAAGGCAAAGGTCACACTACTGGGAAGCAAATGTCAGAAAATAAAAGATGATTCTATTTTGCTTCTTTGTTTCATCCTCTTTCCTTTTTATATGTGGCTTTTCATAATCTTTTTTCATGTTATCTTTTGTACCCTAGTTTTCGTCCTTTCTTGCCTCTTCAGTTTTTACTTTTTCAGTGTGTTTTCTGTTTACAGAAATAGATCATTAGCCTTTACACACAGAATTTAAACTCTGAAAATACTCATCTGATTGTTAATATTCACCAAAACTTTTTGTATTGCATGACTGGGGAGACAGAATACTACTGTGCTTTATGCAACATTAAAAAAAATCAAACATCTTTTAAAGTCTAGTCTCACAGCAACATTGTTTCTCATTTTTAATTTCTCTTTGAAACACTTTCTGACCCAGCGAATAATGAATTCCTGTTTCCATATTCAGCCGCTTGCAGTTTGTTGCACACCTTCAGAGGCTGAAGTCCAGTGCCCTGAACTTTGCCAAATGAGTTTTTTTGCCATTATTTTATTGCACAGAAGGGGRTGTGTGCCTGTGGTGGCAGTGGCTCTTTTTCTCTAAAGAATACAGAGGTAATATCTTCAAAAGGTGTTCTTGAACTGGCAAGCTCATGCAGGGGGAAATCTGGGTATTTGTGTCACCTATGGTTTCTGTCTCTGCTTTGACACCRCAGCACACTTTGCCAATCATTAGAATGGGCATTGGCACCTATCTTTTCTGCCACATGTGATTTTCTTTTATGACCTAGGTACTTAATAGGCCTAGCTCCACATATTAATATTGCCCATTTTGCACACAACTAAATCCGTTTATAGGAACTTACCTGTAGGTAGCAGGTAAGTGCTCTGCCTTTCTGCAAATTAAAATTAATGTCCCATCTAAGGAAAAGAAGTGCTCTATAATTTAAAGCTGGGATCCTAATCACAGGTGGAACTGCGTGTATGTGGTCTTTTTGAAATCACTGGGATTCATTTTACCAATAAAATAGCACATACACTGAAGTGTCCCCTTGGGCCTCTTTTCTCTTTTTCTCTATCTGTAGAATGTCTGCAAGAATTTTCCTTTGTTTACTTAATTTTCCAAATCATACAATGATTTGAGTTTCATTTTTCTGAATTTATTGTGAACTATTTGTGTGTTATTGTGCACATCTATTCCTTTGGAAGGAGATTACAAATCATGATAATAAATTAAAGCTTCTGTTTTGTTTTCACATCACATGTTATCTATTCTTCTTTTCCCACTCTTCACACCAGAACACACACATCCTCCAAGCATTCACGTAGCTGCATAAATGAGAGGCTGGACAGCTTAGGGTACTTCCACACCAAAGAACCAGTAGTAAGGTACTGAAGAGGATGCTAAGATCCCTCTGAACTTTCTCTCCACATTAGGAATACTTGTCTGCACATCCATTCTTGTTACTAAAATATCAGTCTGACCATGYTCACTTGAATTTTTTTTTACACTTCTGCAATAGAGAAGAGTAAGCATGCTCAGTACAGAAGGAAAAGTACCATACATGTTACACATACTATTCTTAGGAAACATGGTCAGGGGCTTCTCTCATGTACATTCAAGAGATGCAGTCTGTGTTTTCCATGGTTAGCCCACGAAGRGTTTACTCCTTGCAAAAGAGGGAGCTGAAGAACTCTTCACAGTTGTCTGATACCTTCAGTTCCCACTCAGTTTAATTCAGCACATCAGGTTGATTCTTTTTTTGTTGCCCTAACAAACCTTGATTATATTTTAATGAGAAAGCTCTTTCCCAGCATGTATCCTTAATTTTGCTTTTCAGCAGGTGGCTCATGGTTTTACTCAAAAGCCACCATGTAAATCCTGACAGTAGATTATACTAGTTAATAATATAACACTCAAACCCTGGGACTTAATTATTCATTTTCCTTTTATTATTGATAAATTCTGCCCAGAGAAAGCCTGGGTGAGGAAAAGAASTTGGTCAGAGCTCTTTCTGGATTCTGAGTTCCTTTGACCTGTTATCTTTTAATTATGCCTCCGTTTTGTGCTTTCATAGGGCATTTGTGCTTTAATGAGCCTTATCACAAGTGAGTGAAATATGTAATTTCCCAATTTCAGTACACCCTATGAGATATTTGGCTCCCTGACTCAGGGGACCTGAAACTTCTCAGCACCTGACAGAATTAAATCCMAGCTTCTATGAAACACTGCTGTGAAGAGTAGCTGATTCCTGTAAGTCCTTTAAAGTTAAGTCTGTTTCATTTCACATGTGGAATTGGACRAGCAAAGGTTACCAGTGCTTCAAAAGCTGGGACTAACCCCATGTGTGAACAGCTGGTTTTGAAACTAAGTAGCCCACACAATGAGTGTAAGAAAGATTACACCGAGCTTCTATATTGATTTTGAAGGTGGTTAGAACAGGAAACAGAATTCAGAAATGACTTGAGGTTTAACAAGTTTGTGGTTTCTCTCTGAAACAGTTTGATAGAAATCCTAAGTTTCTTCTGCAAACTAAACTTGCAGTAACAGTTGTTTCATAGGATCTTTTTAGCAAAGACATACATTCAAGTGACATGAGAGCCAGTAGTTTTAATTTATGTCTCTGCAATTATCACAGCTTCCCCCAGCATAGCTGGGGGAACAGAGGAGCTTCATGACATGGTGGGAACGGTCCACAGAAGAAGAGCCAAAGACACATACATAATTTCCTTTTTTTCTTCTTCTAGAGGTTCACTTTTCTCCTGAGTACATAAAGAAGGGTGTGCCATCAGCTGAAAAGATTTAACCAGCATTAGGCTTCTTCCCTGAGATTACTTTTATATTAATGCTACTCCACTGACTCCATCAGAATTGCTTCTGCTGTACRAGACAGGAAAACAGGAATCTTTCTCCTCCCATTACACATGCTGGGAGTATACACAAAGGAATAAGTCTAATATTTCGATGAATATTAATTCTTTAAAAATCCASAAGTTACATAGGAAATATATAATACAGGAATTTAGAAATATTGACATAGTCTGGTGAAAAGGAAAAGCATTTTATTTAATATGCAATTTGACAGCATTAAAATACAAATATATTGTGGGATAATCTCCCACAAAATAGCTGTGAAGAATAAAGCAGAAGAATAAAAATTACTTACATGCCTGCAGACTTACAGGATCTCTGAGATTCTTTTCAGGATGTACTCACTGACCACTAAAACATCCTTTGTTGTGTCTTCGTACTGTAATAGAAATTGTGAATTGTGTGTTCTTGAACAGCAGTTCTTAAACCCTTGAATACAGAATGAAGTTTAACCTCAACAGAGCACACTGGAATGAAAACCAACAAACATTCTGAACCTGGCAAGCCAGTTTAGCTTCACATACCCTCACGTCAGTATGAATACGTACTAGCAAGTTGACTTGTGGCAGTAACTCTGCACTCTTGCTCTGAATACATAACTTCATCTTTTGTAATTGCATTGAAATACAACTCATTTTAAGTTGCAGATGCTCTGCTGGGAATTTTTTGTTTCTGAGAACAGCAGAGAGAGGGTGGAGTTGCAAACCTTACCTGTGCACCACACAGTGAAGTCCGTGTTTGAGAGCTGGTCAAGTCCTGACTGGTGTGCTTTCTATCTGCAGTGCTAGCATTTGTAGGTTGCTGTATTTTGAAATGCCTGAACTGCTCTCGGAATGACCTGCTGAAAGACAACACTGTAGTGTACACAGTCCTGCTCACGCCTAAATTATCCACAACAAATTAATGAGAACCTGGTGTTGATTGTGTTCAGGCTGTCCTGAGGCAACCACTTACAGGGCTTAAGGGTTTACTTTTAAAATACATATTACTGACTGAGACAACAGGTTTGGACCCATGTTTAATTAATGATGAGGCATATTCTAAGTGTTTTAACGTCTCCAGCTAAGCAACTAAAGTCTGCTTCACAAAAACATTTTAAAAGATGTTGAGAATGAGTAAAGATCTTCCTTCATGAAAATCATGCCTAGTATGAAGGGATGATTAAAAGGTGGCAGAAAACCACATTTTTATTTCCTATGTTCTAGGCTTGTCTTACTTCTACTTTTCATAGAATCACAGAGTCATTTAGGTTGGGAAATACCCTTAAGTTTATCAAATCCAAAAACTAACCTAATACTACCAAGTCTATCACTAAACCATGTCACTCACTAGGTGCCATGTCTGCCMACCCATGACGTTTGAGGAGCCTTTTATTTGCTTTACCTAGTGGTCATTTATCTACAGCCAAAATAGTTTGCAGTGCCTGGTGAGAATGGACAGAGCATAGCAAGGTGCTGAACAATCGTTGTATCCGTCGCTGTGGGAGCCCCACAGTGTCATAACCGCAGCTTGGGCCATGCATGGCTTCTCAGGAATTCCCTGGTGTCTAGCCACATAAACATTTGCTAATACCACAGTGGCAGAGATGCTTTGTGACTGACCAGTCAGCCTTGCTCACCCTACAACTACATACCGAAGCCCCATTTAATGAACCCTAACTCCTCCACTTTGGAGAGGTAAGTGGACTGGCACAGGAGATCTCACAGGGCTGCTAAGGAGGTACAGTGCTTCAACAAGGCAAGTAGATATGAGCTGGGTCCCCAGGCAGCCTGACAAACAGACCTCATCAACCCCTCACAGTCTGCATAGAATTAATATCTGTCTTGGTCACAAGGGCCCTGACCGGATGGCTCAAGAAACACAACATGCTCTGCATCTCTCCACACTGTACTAGCATAATATCTTTAATAAAGCATTTAAAGCATTCCGTGGGCAGCAATACTTTTAGACAAGGTTTTACAAATAGCATGTTTTATTTCAGAATGTTCTGGTTCTGTTGGTTTGTTGGAGCTTTTTTTTAATGAATTCATGAATTCATGAGTTTTATTTTTGTCATTTAATGGTTGTGATTTTGCCACTTTATTTTTACCAAGTAGTTGTTAGTTTTTGTACCAGAATTGTACTTGGGACAGTTTATCATGGGAAGATGAATTCTGTAACAGACCAACCTAACCCTCTTCAAGACAACTGTGGCAAGCAGCCTTCTGATCCTCCCCAGCACCTCCAAATGCTTCTTCACCTTTTTTCCTTAGGTGCCCACTGTGGTACAGAACCAGTTACTGCCTGTGTCCCACTGAGTTGGCCCCTWCCAGTCAGTAAGCCTCTTTGGGTACCCATCTGGAAAAAAAATTGTCAGACATTTCTCTTAAAAACATCTGCTTTGATGGCACTACCTAACAAGTCTCTTGCAAGTACCTGTTGGGCCTGTTGGAGTGGGTCCAGAGGAAGGCCACAAAAATGGGCACAGGAATGGAGCATCTCCACTGCGAAGACTGGCTGAGACAGGTAGGGTTGTTCAGCCTGGAGAAGAAAAGGCTCCAGGGAAACCTTATTGTGGTCTTCTGACACTTAAAGAGGGCTTATAAAAATGATAGGGGGCAACTTTTTGGTAGGACCTATTGTGATAGAACAAGGGCTTTTTATACAGTTTTTATACTCAGAGGGGGTAGATTTAGACTTGATACAAGGAAGAAATCTTCTACAAGGGTGATGAAACACTGGCACATTTGGCACCACCACAGAGGTGGGGATGCTTCATCCCTGAAAACATACAAGGTCAGGCTGGATGGAGCTTGGAGCAACCGGATCTAATTGAAACTGTCCCRGYTCATTGCAGGAGGTTGGACTAGATGCCTTTTAAAGTCTCTTCTAACCTAAACTATTCTATGATTCTAAGTAGTCTGTCACTCATGAATACTCAGTGGATTTGTTTGCAAGAAAGGGAAGATTAATCTTCTATCATTACAGGTTAGCTCATACCTTTGGGTAATAAAAGCTGAGTGAGCAGGAAAAAGGATCAATAAAATCATGATTCATTTTGCTCTCTAATTTCTGAGCACCATACACTTTCTCCTGTCAGGTGCCTAACACTTATTTCTGTCCTGGCAACTGCAGCCTGTTGATCCCATMCTATGTAGCACTGGTTTAGAAAATATGGATCTGCTCAGTGTGGTCAGTATCAAAAGGAAGRAAGTTTTGTGACCACTCAACAGGAAATAGCTCAAATTTCTGAGTGCAAGACTTGGCATGGAAGAATTAACCTTTGCTTTGATTATTTAGGCTTTGCTTTCTTCTTTTCTTTGTCTATCTGCCTCTATGATTTTGAAAAGGGATGTTAAAGGCTTTGCTATTTGCAGCCAAGGTATTTTGCAATTATATTAGCATGTTCCTCCTCTTTATCAACCTAAATCCTGCATGAAAGGGGTTTTTAATCTCAAGTTTCTTGCATTGCATTCAGAAGGAATCAAGATAGGCTTTCCCTTATCTTGAGTCGCACTACAGACTCCATCAGGTACTATCCTTGACAGCAAACACCAGGATGGGCTGCAGATGGAGAAAGGGACAGAGAGCAATCCAAGCAGGCCCAAGGATTCAGTCACAGGATTCAAGATTAATGCTTACACAGAGCATGCAGTCTTAGAAGGGGAATAGCTGGACAGGTACCAATGTAATGTGTTCCCACTGAGTCAATTTAAATATTTTTTGTTTACTATGTGATAGACTAGTTCCATTTTTAACATAGTCTTCATAGCAGTCCAAGAGTGTTTGAATAAACTGTGGAAAGCATATTCTGGATGGTGTTCTGACTGGAAAGGGGTTGAAACAGGACACTTAGCGGGCTTTGTCTTATTAGTGTTTAGGTGTAAGTAACCTCAGAACATGCATGAAACCATCTGTGACACTGACAGTCAGAAAAGACATATCATTCAAGATGAAGAACTCCTGCAAGCCCTATGAAAAGTAATTGGTATCAATTCCAGTTTTTCTTACTCAGCCTGAGCGGGAACAAGCTTTCCCACCACTCCTTCCCTCCCTAGGCTGAGTAGAAAAGTATCTTTTTTTCTTTCTTTTCTGCCATTCCTGAAACATTTAAGGTACCTCAGAAGACTAATGTTAGCACAGTGTTTGATAGGCAGATACCTTTGATGTGCATGCGCTGCTTGTGAAAATGATGAGAAAATACAGAAAGTAATCAGAAAACACCATTTATGAGCCTGGCAGCCAATGGGAAGGGACATTGGGAGTGCCTGTGGAGAGCTGGAGGAATATTGAAGATGACAAAGCTTTCTTTTAGCCACAGTGAAGGGAAAAGATTAGGTGGGTGTGGACAGGAGAAGGTATGATTGTTTTCTCTGCGTGACAGGAGGGGTTAGGGAAATTGTTTATTTCTTTGTACCGGTACAGGAAATGTCTTTGCTTATGCATATATCTGTGGCACTGGAGGAGGCAAAGGAATGGAATTTTTTTTTTCACTTAGACATAGGACAAGGGGAGATATATTTTTCTGTCTTTTCTGTGGAAGAGAATGAAGGGAGGTCTGTCTACACATGTACCAGCTGTTTCAAAAAGAAAAACCTGCAAGGTCAGTATGGATCTCAAAAAGGGTTGAATGTAGGTAGTACAGTTCATTTCAAGCCTGTTCCAAGCGGGACAAATGTTTAGTCTTCTATTTTTGGCTGTAATGACGTTCGAGCTGACAAACCAGGAATTCAAAGGATTGTACTCCACAAAGCAAGCAGCGCAGTTAGAAAACAAGGCCAATAACGCCCCTCGCATTCATTCTAGGCTGAGGCACTTACGCCTCCAGGGCAATCCCAAAAGCTTC